ATAGGTTAAGTAATAATTGTAGGTATACCTATACCTATTATAGGTATAGGTTAAGTAATAATTGTAATTAAGAAGCAATAAGATGCTTATCTTAACATACTAAAAAGGTTAGGTAAGGTCGGTGTTTTCTATGAAGCTTTTCAAGGTAAACTACAATATTCACAATAAATTAGTATGTCACATAAGCACTTATTTAATGTCAATATTGACTAAGAAAGTGCGAGAACGGGTTGGAAACGGACACAAGTCACCCACATATCCTCTCGAGGCTCAGGAACAAAAACCGTCAATATAACTGAGCTTTAATTGTAATAATATATCGTACTTATAACGAATTTGTCGAGTCTGCGAAACACGCGAAGCATCCGGTAGGAGAACGGCTTGGACGACCCTCCACCACCAACTTTATTAATGCATAATTAAATTATCATATATAATAACGTCCTGTTTGTTGACCAGACCACACACTAGAAGTTGAAGGGACGACGACGTTTCGGTCCGTCCTGGACCATTCTCAAGTCGATTGTGAGAATAGACCCACAATCGACTTGAGAATGATCCAGGACGGACCGAAACGTCGTCGTCCCTTCAACTTCTAGTGTGTGGTCTGGTTAACATACTTTAGCCACGTTATTGTGACTCGTCGCCTGCAACGTCCTGTTTATTACCAATCCGTTTGCGTTGATTTCTAATGCGAGTTTCTCATTAGTCATTGTTAAGTGGATGAAGATCCTCCAGCACTAGATCGTCCCGCCTATTATTACCCGCCCGCACTAATACCCCGAGAGGCTTGACTCAATGTTTCAGGCCCAGGAGAGAGGTGAACAACTTCCAGCTTCAGACTGGCCTCCAGGCTGACATGTTTCCTAACAACTGGAGCCATGTTGTCCTTTCCCTCGTCCTGTTAACTGAGTTATGAAAGATGAAAAAAGAGGTGGAAGCCTCTATATATAAGTTCATACAGAACCTCTGTCACACTACCACATCTCCCCCAGCTTAAAGACACAACCCTGGAAACACAAACCGTAACTGTGTCTATTTTCCGCTTGTTACAACTTGTAATAAAGTTGTTACATCTTGACCTAACGTGTTTATGACGTATTAGAACGTTGTTACAAATTGCTATATTGGTTGTTATAACGGGTTAAGTGTCAAAACTCGTCCGAACGTTGTGCCAACGTCGTAGTTTGTGTGTGTTTGGCGGGAGGGCCGTTAGGTCACTCCACATAAAAGTCAAATACTGACTAAATAATATTTATGTCAATAATATCGACGCTATACATCGCAACATCATCTCTTAACCTGCACTGTAAAATCTTCCAGAAACAATATACCAAAATTACCTTACCTAGTCTTTGATAAGCCATAGATATGAAATGTATTATTTCAATGTTGAGAACAAACAACATTTGTCAATATAATGTATGAAAGAATTATCCTGTCAGTATGTCTGCTGTAAGTCAAATATTGACTTAAGTCAATATTTGATTTAAAGCTTGAAATAAAAATTTGAACGAAGACGATGATATATAGCACCCGAGGGAGCCTTGTGGGGCTCCCAGTCGAGCCCACACATGACGTCTACCGCCCCTATATACAGTATTTGCAATTATTTTATTTGCAACTTTATTACACAAAATGAGTTACAACAATGAACACATACAAATTATAAAGTTAATTGTCACAGACTGTCTAGTTCCTCCAACTCTTCACATTGCGAGCAGGAGCCACGAATGCATTTTGCATTTCTCCTCTGTATTGTCCTGCTGAGGCGCTGGAAAAGAAAGCTGGCGACTATTGGGTCTATTGTTGTTTCGATTAGTTTAGAACCCAGATCCTTTAAAAAACAGGCGGCAATTTTATCCCAGACGCCATGTGTCTTCGAGGCAATGCGGGCAAAATTGTAATGGTGATCTCTGTATTTACGAGACTTGGGTGGTTCCTTTTGGGTGGCAGCACCACCCGGATGTGCAAACACTGAAGTCATTGTAGGTGTTAGCCAAGGATCAAATGTACGCGTATTCCCCCACTAACTGTCTACCATTCTTCCAGGTGTTCACTGTAGTCTTATATTGATGAGCAACAGGTAACGGGCCTCTCTCTCTGCTGGACAATCTGCTGTGGTAAGGCTCCTCTTAATGATATCATTGACTTCACTGTCGTTCGGGTACTATTCCCTTGTGCTTTGGCATAGCAGGCCATGCTGGCCATACCTCTCAGCCACTTCTTCGCTCCAAACACAAATATTTGTTGTAGAATGAGGCAACAAGGCGGAGGGCCGCAGCAATTCAAAGGATCTGCAGTGTAAGACGTGTGCCAGTTGCTGACACTAAGGTTACTAAAATGAAGTTACCTGCATGAGGAGTTGCTACAGCTCTAAGTTGAGCAGTGTCATGTTGTTGCAGTACCTAGGTACATTGTAGCTGCTTGGTCTACAATGGGGCCATCCCAGATAGATTGCTTGTGGGGCTTTAGATGCACGTGTAGTCATTGCATTGTATTTTATAGATGATGTTTGGAGTGCTGGACCTACGAGAGAGACCCACTTAATGGTGAAATGTATAAAACTGAGCGTGTACCCTTCTTGTTGGCTTAAGTAATTCGGTAAGATTTCCTTCGCCAGGTTTTCAGATGCTGCTGAAGAGGATAGGAATGCTGAAGAGGATAGGAATGCTGGTTCAGCAATCTGCGTTGCTGTATGAACACAGAGAGCCCCGAGTCTGACAAGACAGGAGGTTTGTTTCCACTTTGAGTTACTGATTGAAAGGTTAAGGGCCTTTTTCTAACAGTGATTTCAGTAAGCTGTTGTGATCCTCTAGCTTAAGAGTATTATAAGACACTGAACATCTAAGAAAGTAGGTCAGCCTGGGGAGGGACAAACAGTTGGTGATGAGGTATAGAGTGCATCGTGAGCATCAATGTCTTCAATCCTCTCGTCCATCATCTTCAGATCAGCGATTTTGTTTTACCAGGGATATCGTCGTTTGCCTTCGATCCAAGAGGAGCTCCTTAGGAGTTTCCTCACTTTGAGATATCCTCATCTGAGTAACTTATGGTTATTTTATTTTTATAAGATGCAATTTTATTTTGCTGTGTTTACGTATCTCATTATTTCTGTTCTTCATCGTTACTACATGATATATGTTGATACACGATACTTACTGCTGGTCACAAGAGTGTGGATGAGGTTAGGATCAAAGTTAATTATAGCATACGTCGTGAAGCAGTTGGATTCGCTCTGGAAGTAGTGTGTTAATTTCCAGACAGTAAATCTTGTTTCCAGAGTTGCTGAAGCCCGTAGTGTGTGTGTCACTGCAGGCATAGTGCCAAGACTGAGTGCCGCAGTAAGCTCTTGAGAGTTGTGGAGAATCCTAGCCTCCCATATGTACTTTATGACGACGCAGAGTTTACCACAGTTGAGATTGGTGAATTATACAGTGGGCACTGGATGATGGCGCTCTAGTTCCTCAATTACCAGTGATGGCCGGCTACTTGAGATGACCCAAGAGAGCGTAAGGTCGGTGAGCAACCCGTCCTCTTAAAAATAACGTCACTTTTGGCTCGTATGCGCACTATGGCCAAATTTGGACGTAATTTGAAATGAAATCGACTCACACAAGTGACGTACTGTTCCGTTTTCTGTTTGAGTCGTCCGGCCCTCCTCCGCAAGCTTGGAAGAGGAATTTCCAATTAACGTTTTCATACCGTTTTGAAACTTTGAGAATTTCCTGCCCACCAAATATATCAGAGGACCCTTAACTTACTGTTGTTGAAAAAAAAATTCCTAATTTATTTTCAATTTCTTTTTCATTTTCAAATTACGTCCATATTCGGCCATACGGGCAAACGGCCAAAAGCGACGTTCTTTTTAAGAGGACAGGTTGGAGGCCCAGACACAGCTTCATGCGAGTGCTCACCATCTCTGGGAACACATTGTGAGTTAGGATCTCAAGGCAACCTACCCATCACAATTTGATGTCAAACTCTCCAACGGAATGTGATGTACCGTATATCATAGCGGCCCACAAACATTCAATTTTTTCAATTATCCACTGGTTAGGGTAGGGTAAGTTTGGGCAATTTAATACATCATTTTCTGACCGTTGTGACAACTCGAGCGGACGGGCAACTCAGGGATGATGCTAGAGTCCATTTGCTAATGAGTTGCAAATGGGGGAAGCTGGAAGAGTGGCCACGCATACAAGCACGTCACGTTCTTGCATGATACATGCTTGCACTAGCTAACACAATACTGCTGAATATGAAGTTTTCCACCACCATTTATCATCTAAGTGATGTGCATGAAATATATATGAGCCGGCTGACACATGCTCTGTTATTGTAATGTTTACATGCGAATTATGTTACGTTTAGTGGCCTTATTATACCACGGAAGCAATATACATAAATATGATACTTCGAAAATTTGGCTTTTTACACATTAACAGGTCATAGATTATCTACTTAGCTGCTCTTTGTGAAATGCCCAATAAAATCTTGACCACTCCAGATAATGAGGTTGTAATCAGTTTTATATATTTGCAATAATTGTAAACATTTATGTAGCATGGTTGTAAACAATCATGTTTATTCTTGACCAGACCACACACTAGAAGGTGAAGGGACACGACGCTTCGGTCCGTCCTGGACCATTCTTGACTTGAATCGACTTGAGAATGGTCCAGGACGGACCGAAACGTCGTCGTCCCTTCACCTTCTAGTGTGTGGTCTGGTCAACATACTTTAGCCACGTTATTGTAACTCATCGCCTGCTCATGTTTATTCTATTTATTTTTTAACTAGCCTAAAAACACTTGACAAAGATTTAAAAATCTCTTGAAAGTCGTTGTAATTTTAAGAAAATGCTTTGCTTTACTCGCTTTTCATAAATAAATTAACATATACCTTAAACTTCCACACAAGTTGATCACATAATCATGACCGCCACGCACAAGGTCCCCGCCCTAAACCCTCCGAGTGTTATAGTGGAACATACGTACCTATTACGTCCTTAATAGAAGCCGCCTCGCCGCACGTCAGGAAGTCATTGTAGAAACTGACCATCACGATGCCCTCGTTCACCGCCTGCAGTAGAAAACGATAAGATAACGTCGGTTGCTGTCAATTCAAATCTCTTCATGTCAACTCGAGGTAAATCGCGCCAAGCTCACTTCTGCTCACAGTCTGAATTCAAATCATTCTCCTCCGTGTCAGTGCTCTGACTATCACCTTCTGGAACATTTACTCTCTAAGATACCTCGAAACATTCGAACTTGAGTTGAATATAAAACTAGAATTGGTGAAGAAGGAAGCGCATCTTCAAGGAGGAAAATATTAAGCTTCAAAATCACCTGCAGATGGGAGAGAAGGGGGGATGAGAAGTGGAGCAAACACAAGAAATTCAGGATTAAGACAAGGAAAAGTGATAAGAAATGTGCAGCATTCGAGTATGATAACCCTTTTACTGCCCTCGAAGGTGATTGTTGCAAGGATAAAGTTATCGATGACCAGAGTAATACACACAAGTTCAGCACCGATACAAAAGGCGCTGACAAGAGAGGTAAGAATATTTTCATTGAAAGAAACTCATAGGTTATGTATATGGAGAGGATAACTTTACAGTATTCCCTTAAGTCCCCGTGGCGCAGTGGTAAAACTCACCCCACCCCTACCCCCACACCCTCCCGCTTCGCCAGTTTGGCCTGGGTTCGTCTCCTGGCCGGGGAGGATTGACTAGTCGCCAGTCCTTAACTGCAGGCCCCTGTTTCCCCAGCAGTGAATGACTGCCTGGTTGTTTACCCATTTGACGGGTCGTATTCTGCGCAAAAAATTTGGATTAAAGACCTGTCCGAAACGCTAGTGGCTTTACAACGATGTACTCCATAACTTTATAACGCGCTCCTGACTTTATAATACCTAAACAACGAAAGAAAGAAGCAGAAAAGGTTACCAAGACGTAGGTGACGACGCTGGGAAGACCGGGCACTCACCAGGGAACTGAGGATGTCGTCGGGGACGTTCCTCTCAATGTCACAGAGGGCGCGGGCTGCTGAGTGAGAGAATATGACGGGGGCGCGGGAGGAGGCCACCACGTCCCGCGCCGTCCTGGCCGAGGCGTGAGCCACGTCCACCATCAATCCCACGCGGTTCATCTCCCGGATAATCTCCTGAAAGTGGATATGGTGGCAGTCAGGGTTCTGCCTCAGTGCAGGTGGAAGGGACGGTTAGGTGGAAGAGTTATGTACGTGTGGTTATCGAAGGAGGGGTGATATGGTTATCTTGAGGTTATCTTGAGATGATTTCGGGGCTTTAGTGTCCCCGCGGCCCGGTCCTCGACCAGGCCTCCACCCCCCAGAAAGCAGCCCGTGACAGCTGACTAACACCTAGGTACCTATTTTACTGCTAGGTAACAGGGGCATAGGGTGAAAGAAACTCTGCCCATTGTTTCTCGCCGGCGCCTGGGATCGAACCCAGGACCACTAGTCCAGCGTGCTGTCAGCTCGGCCGACCGGCTCCCTTGTTTATTGTGTGGGGGGAAGTATTTATTGCAACTACACACAACAGCACCAAGCCCAATGATGGTTATGTGGAAATTGAAATTGAAAATTAAATAAGTTACTGATGTAAAATACACACAAAGGGATGAGGTAGCTCAAGCTATTATCACCCCGTTCAGTACATCGTGTTAATACATACATAGACACACACATCACAAATAAACATATTACCGAACATTCTGAGAGATAAACATATACATTTCCTCCTTTACACAAGTAGTATGGTATCAGACGTACACACAAATACTTTTATGACCTAGGTATACTGTATAGACAATTTGCAAGAGACATGCAGATAATTCAACAAAAGATTATACAGTCTTGGTGCAAAATTCTTATATATCTCTCAAGAATCATCAACCTTTCCGTTATGTGGAAGAGCTCATGGGATGGTGGTGATAAGGTTATGTGGAAGTGTTCATGGGATGATGATGATAAGGTTATGTGGAAGTGTTCATGGGATGATGATAAGGTCATGTGGAAGTGTTCATGGGATGGTGATGATAAGGTTATGTGAAAGTGTCCATGGGATGGTGATGATAAGGTTATGTGAAAGTGTCCATGGGATGGTGATGATAAGGTTATGTGAAAGTGTTCATGGGATGATGATAAGGTTATGTGAAAGTGTCCATGGGATGGTGATGATAAGGTTATGTTGAAGTGTTCATGGTAATTTTGTATGGGGTTATCTCCAGGTGTTCTTGGAATGTAATAAGTTAGATGGAAAAATTCATAATACGGTGATGACAGAATAATGTGTAGATTCAGATTGTGTAGTGATGCTCAGAGAAATGAATCCCCGGAGGCCGGTGTCAATCCCGACCTGGCGAGCTTTCCCGATGGAGATTTTCAAGTAGTGATGCTGGGAGGTTAGGCTGACAAGATGAGCTCATCTGAGTTTCAAATGTAACACTATTGAGGTTAATGTTGACCAGGAAGACATTTGCGGGCCGGCCACATGGTGGTGCGAGCCTCACAAGTGTTCTCCAAGGAGCTGAAGGGATGGCCCACACACCCTAATAGCACACATTATCCTCACTACGCGGCACCTGCGTCTCAACCGCTCCAATGATCCTTCAGCGAATGAGTTTGAAACTTTTTTTGCCGAGTTTTACACAGATGACGAAAGATAAACAGATGATCATAAACATTTACGGCTTTATTTTGTGAAGTTGTACAGAGTGTGGGAACACATGATGAGCCTTTATGACCCGTCACGCTCAATGGATTATGTCAGTAATCAACCCACGTTAATAGTTGCCAACCGAGGAGTCCCTCAACATTATATCACATGGCATTTGTCTCATACACTGGCTATCTTTTTTTGTGTATTTTCTCGCTTGACAATTTTTTGCAGCAACTGGTATTGCAATAGTCAGGCATATATCAATGCATATTCAAATTTTTTTTCAATAATTTGAATCGCAATAGAACATTACAAATTATTTAGTGTTTCGCTATAAATAAAATTCTTTTAATTGAATATATTACGGCTTCGTATCCCGATATTTAATTTCCATGTCATTGTAAATTAAATAAAAACAAATAGTAATTATATACAAAACAAATAATCTAATCTTATTTAATTTCAAACGCCGCTGTTATTGGACAATCCACATTCAGTGTGAATGGATGCAGACCGCCGGACAGCACACAGCAGGTCTCATAATGCTTAATACTAAGTAAAGGTTATCACTAGTGTCCAGCGTCATAGAGAAGCCGAGTGTAACCCACACCTCTCTCTCTCCCTCTCCCCCTCTCTCTCTCTCTCTCTCTCTCCCCCTCCCCCCCCTCTCTCTCTCTCTCTCTCTCTCTCTCTCTCTCTCTCTCTCTCTCTCTCTCTCTCTCTCTCTCTCTCTCTCTCTCTCTCTCTCTCTCCCCCTCCCTCCCTCTCTCTCTCTATCATCCGCGAGAGAGAGAGACTTCAGAGAACTGAAGCAGGCCAGGAACACACCAGATAACAGCTTGTGAGTCTTTGAGATTCTGGGATGTGTTGTGATGAGCAAGTGAGAGAAGGGGGTGGGCAAGCGAGATTAGGGGGATGGGCAAGCGAGATTAGGGGGTGGGCAAGCGAGATTAGGGGGGTGGGCAAGTGAGATTAGGGGGTGGGCAAGTGAGATTAGGGGGTGGGCAAGTGAGATTAGGGGGTGGGCAAGTGAGATTAGGGGGTGGGCAAGTGAGATTAGGGGGTGGGCAAGTGAGATTAGGGGGTGGGCAAGTGAGATTAGGGGGTGGGCAAGTGAGATTAGGGGGTGGGCAAGTGAGATTAGAAGGATGGGCAAGTGAGATTAGGGGGATGGGCAAGTGAGATTAGAGGTTGGGCAAGTGAGATTAGAGGCTGGGCAAGTGAGATTAGAGGCTGGGCAAGTGAGATTAGGGGGTGGGCAAGTGAGATTAGGGGGTGGGCAAGTGAGATTAGGGGGTGGGCAAGTGAGATTAGGGGGTGGGCAAGTGAGATTAGGGGGTGGGCAAGTGAGATTAGGGGGTGGGCAAGTGAGATTAGGGGGTGGGCAAGTGAGATTAGGGGGATGGGCAAGTGAGATTAGGGGGATGGGCAAGTGAGATTAGGGGTTGGGCAAGTGAGATTAGGGGATGGGCAAGTGAGATTAGAGGATGGGCAAGTGAGATTAGAGGTTGGGCAAGTGAGATTAGAGGTTGGGCAAGTGAGATTAGAGGTTGGGCAAGTGAGATTAGAGGTTGGGCAAGTGAGATTAGAGGTTGGGCAAGTGAGATTAGAGGTTGGGCAAGTGAGATTAGAGGTTGGGCAAGTGAGATTAGAGGATTGGCAAGTGAGATTAGAGGATTGGCAAGTGAGATTAGAGGTTGGGCAAGTGAGATTAGAGGTTGGGCAAGTGAGATTAGAGGTTGGGCAAGTGAGATTAGAGGATAGGCAAGTGAGATTAGAGGATAGGCAAGTGAGATTAGAGGTTGGGCAAGTGAGATTAGAGGATGGGCAAGTGAGATTAGAGGTTGGGCAAGTGAGATTAGAGGTTGGGCAAGTGAGATTAGAGGATTGGCAAGTGAGATTAGAGGATTGGCAAGTGAGATTAGAGGATTGGCAAGTGAGATTAGAGGATTGGCAAGTGAGATTAGAGGATAGGCAAGTGAGATTAGAGGTTGGGCAAGTGAGATTAGAGGTTGGGCAAGTGAGATTAGAGGATTGGCAAGTGAGATTAGAGGATTGGCAAGTGAGATTAGAGGATTGGCAAGTGAGATTAGAGGATTGGCAAGTGAGATTAGAGGATTGGCAAGTGAGATTAGAGGATAGGCAAGTGAGATTAGAGGATAGGCAAGTGAGATTAGAGGATTGGCAAGTGAGATTAGAGGATTGGCAAGTGAGATTAGAGGATAGGCAAGTGAGATTAGAGGATAGGCAAGTGAGATTAGAGGATAGGCAAGTGAGATTAGAGGATAGGCAAGTGAGATTAGAGGTTGGGCAAGTGAGATTAGAGGATAGGCAAGTGAGATTAGAGGTTGGGCAAGTGAGATTAGAGGTTGGGCAAGTGAGATTAGAGGTTGGGCAAGTGAGATTAGAGGATTGGCAAGTGAGATTAGAGGATAGGCAAGTGAGATTAGAGGTTGGGCAAGTGAGATTAGAGGTTGGGCAAGTGAGATTAGAGGTTGGGCAAGTGAGATTAGAGGTTGGGCAAGTGAGATTAGAGGTTGGGCAAGTGAGATTAGAGGATGGGCAAGTGAGATTAGAGGTTGGGCAAGTGAGATTAGAGGTTGGGCAAGTGAGATTAGAGGATTGGCAAGTGAGATTAGAGGATTGGCAAGTGAGATTAGAGGTTGGGCAAGTGAGATTAGAGGTTGGGCAAGTGAGATTAGAGGATAGGCAAGTGAGATTAGAGGATAGGCAAGTGAGATTAGAGGTTGGGCAAGTGAGATTAGAGGATGGGCAAGTGAGATTAGAGGTTGGGCAAGTGAGATTAGAGGTTGGGCAAGTGAGATTAGAGGATTGGCAAGTGAGATTAGAGGATTGGCAAGTGAGATTAGAGGATTGGCAAGTGAGATTAGAGGATTGGCAAGTGAGATTAGAGGATAGGCAAGTGAGATTAGAGGTTGGGCAAGTGAGATTAGAGGTTGGGCAAGTGAGATTAGAGGATTGGCAAGTGAGATTAGAGGATTGGCAAGTGAGATTAGAGGATTGGCAAGTGAGATTAGAGGATTGGCAAGTGAGATTAGAGGATTGGCAAGTGAGATTAGAGGATAGGCAAGTGAGATTAGAGGATAGGCAAGTGAGATTAGAGGATTGGCAAGTGAGATTAGAGGATTGGCAAGTGAGATTAGAGGATAGGCAAGTGAGATTAGAGGATAGGCAAGTGAGATTAGAGGATAGGCAAGTGAGATTAGAGGATAGGCAAGTGAGATTAGAGGTTGGGCAAGTGAGATTAGAGGATAGGCAAGTGAGATTAGAGGTTGGGCAAGTGAGATTAGAGGTTGGGCAAGTGAGATTAGAGGTTGGGCAAGTGAGATTAGAGGATTGGCAAGTGAGATTAGAGGATTGGCAAGTGAGATTAGAGGATAGGCAAGTGAGATTAGAGGTTGGGCAAGTGAGATTAGAGGATAGGCAAGTGAGATTAGAGGTTGGGCAAGTGAGATTAGAGGAT